CTTCTTTTGAACTGCGACAAGATGATGCATCTGTCTGATAACCCCTCTTCTTCTTCTTATTCATACTGTAGTGTTTTTGTGTGTGTGTGTGTGTGGTAATGTGTGTGTGTGTGTGTGTGTGTGTGTGTGTGTGTGTGTGTGTGTGTGTGTGTGTGTTTTGTGCTCCTCCTTCTTTGGTTGTAAAGATGGGGCAATTGGTGCATACCACTCAAATCTCCCCCTAAATCTCTCTCTTCTCTTCCTTCTCTACCTTTATTGCCATTGCATATAGCACATACAATGAAATTTGTTGTCTCTTTTTAATAAAAGAAAGTTGTTTTCTTGTTAACCATTAACAGCTTTTTAAGTTTGAAGCCAGTAGTGTAATGGAGTTTGTCCAATAAATAAAAACTTCTATGTAATGATATAAAAAAGCCAATGTATAAAGATTTCAATGTGCTTGAGAGGTTAAAATTGTGCAAGAGTTTAAAGTACTTTAAAACCATACATGCCACAAAAACCCACTTAAATGCCTTAAAAATGAAAAATAAAACATTGTAGAGGGGCTCTTACTGTGCCTTGGAGCAGCTGGAATGATGCTGGAAAACTGAGAATTGACTTTAGTTATGGCTGCTGGATTAAAAACCGTTTGTAAAACTGGAAGTACGTGTCTCTAAAGCCCTGCTACATGTTCCAGATGGCAACATTTGAGAACCATTGAGCTAAGCTAGCTAGCTAAAGATCCATTTCGTTACTATGAGTCATCTCCTGTTGCTGTGGAAACAGGTAACTTCCTTCAATACTTCTACACTTGCATCTGTCCTATTTTGTTTTTTTGTTTTGTTTTTTTTCTTTTCTGTTTATATCCACAGCCTTGAGGTGTTGCCGTAGTTGGTTACCACCAGATGCCAACAATAACGAGCCCTGTAACGGTTGCGCTCTCACTCTTGTGTGGTATCCTCACACAGAAGCTTCAGTGCTTGTGTCTTTGAAGGTTGAAGTTCTATTGCAACGCTGTGTTGTTAAGTATGCTTGTGCATTTTTAAGTAGGCATATTTAAATGCCAGAGCTTTCTTAGCAGGTATACGCTGTAAACCTGCACATCAACTAGGCTACATTAGTTTCTGCCAACATCTTCATAGTTCAGTGTTGACTGATGGCCTACAGTCATTTAGGGTGGCATAGCTCACTGAGTTGGTATTTAAAAAAAAAAATGCTGCATATTCAGAATGAGAGAGTATTTCCTTCTTCTAGCGAAGAATAGAATATGGTGAAAAGTATGTAATAGTTATATTGGGCTATGATCAGGGTGACTAATAAGGAGAGACCCTGGAGCACTTGCTGACCCCATATCTAATGATTCCCCTCATTTTAGCCCATGATTGCTGTTCCAGATTCCAATTAGAAAGCATGTGTGGAAGCCCTAGCTGGGCAAGAATAGGCCTTAATTGCCATGAGTTATCATCTAGACTCATGTAATTGAGCCCCCATCTTAAGGGGCAGCACATCTGACAAATTGATTTAATACCAAAGTGATTCTCCATCCCTAATGGCACTCTGGCTTCTTCACTCAGGGGCTACTGGCACTGAATTCATTGTGTGTTGATTACTAACAGGCCTAAAACCTTTCTCTCTGTCCACCCACTTGAGCGAGATTGGTAACAGACTTTCATACAGTATCGGCGCACACACACACCCTGAAGCACATGTCCATATTATGATTTCTTTATCTTGGTTATCATGCTGAATTTCTGAATGTAAGCGTGTGTGCTGCTGCGTGAATAAAAAAGGCACAGTTACTAAACTGGTTTTGTCAGTCTTGTGTAAAAACAAGTCACCTGTCTGAATTTGTCACTCCTGGAAAGTAGTCCAAAGTGTTTCACAACACATGTAACTGCTGCATTGCAGCAACATATTACTTGGAATAAAACAGTTTTTTCTACCTTGTATACAGGGAGCTCATTTCTTCATGACAGCCAATGAAACATATGAAGTTTAAAAAGTAAAGCTTGAAGAACTCACAGATGTGCTTTTCACTTCTGTTGTGGGATTAATGAGTTTGCAAAGTTGTTTCTGTAATTAAAAGTATAAAAATCACTTTGAATCTACATTTCAAAATTTCATAGAAATGGTAGGTTTGAACCATAGATGGAGAAGATAATAGCGAGAGGCAAAAATAATTTATACCCATAACAAACCCACAGCAGACCTGGGTGCACCTTCATGCTTTGCAGCATCGTTTATTTGCTGTATACACACAGTTGGCTGCAGCTCTCTCTCGCTGCCAGCCGCACACACGGACGACAACAACAATACTGCAGGACCCAGTTCCGTGCAGGTGCGTCTGCCTTCCCTGCACGGCACTGCAGGCCATGCCCCACCACAATACCACTCCACGCAAAAGTCAAAAACATGTATTGATCATGGTAGTCTGTACATTACATACTGAGATTTGACTTGTGCAGACAAAAATCTACCATTAAACACTATAGGCACTACACACAGTGCCACACCCTAAATGACATCATCCTCTAAATGGCACCATTATTTATAATGTCAACAAGTAGTTTTTATGAAACTAACTAACAATAAAGACCATAAGCTAATTAGGAAAACCTTTATTAAAGTATCAATCAAATGAGCAGTACACTAATTCTCTAATAGATTTCTATACTGCTGACCAGAGAGAACTAGCTGGCCATTAGGATACATTGGCTTCATTTTTCAGACCCAGAGGCTATGCCCATCTTCTCTACTGTCTGTTTTAAAGACCCACTTCTTACCGAATTTTGGTCACTATTTAGGAAGGTTTAGGAAAAACTAAATATTTCTCTGTAGCTCGCGGTGTAAATGTTGTCTGCACTGACAATGTGGCTTCCTTTCTGTTTGCTCACTGTGTTTTTTGTTCTCTTTCTGCATCAGGGTCACAGCAAACATGAGCGGATCGACTTTTTAACCCAAAAAGAGAAGGCACCACCAAAGAGCAAGACTGGCATCGTGATTGGTGTTGTTGTGGCACTTCTCATCCTTTCAGCCGTCGCAGCTTTCCTCATTTGGTTTTTTGTCTGTGAGTATTAAAAGCTTTCTTTGAATATGCTGTCCAGGGTGGGTGCTTGGCGTGCGTGCTTTGAAATGCTTGATAAATTCAAGATGAAGACAATTGCTGGACATTGTGTGCAGACGATCTGTCCGAAAATCAGAGTTGTCTTTGACAGAATGTAAATGGATAGTTGCGTTGTTAACATTGCTTACTGCCAAACCTTTTAGAGCATGATAAACAGAGAAGTAGATCATTTACACTTGCTGTGAAAGCACAGCTCTTTGAATGTGAGTGCAAGAGTGGCTTGTTTGGGTTTTGTAATTTCCCATTAGTGTTAGCCTGTTTGACAGCTCTGACGTTCTTTTTAATAACGCAAAGGAGAAAAATGTCACAGAGACCATGGCGCAGCTTTCTTGTCATTTACACATACGGAGCCTGATAAAAAGGCTTCTGAAGTCTTGATAAACACAGTCTTGATTTAACTGACTGTTTTAATTGCCCTGAGAAGCAAACTGTCGTCACAGCATAAGATTGCACTGTACAGTCTCAGCTTGTGCTTGAAGGCCTGTTGAAAACTTTCCCCTTTCATCAGAAGCAACCATCTCATCCCATTTTGTTGATCAAACACTTAACTCTCATCTGCTTCTCTTCCAAGTTAAAGATGCTGATTCAGATGCCGCCCTCAGTAAGCAGCTCCGTCAATCAGTACCGGTTTTTAGCGGGCGTATGACGCTGGTTAATCAACCTTATGACCAAAACCTGGAGGACACCAACAGCCCAGAATTCCAGGCTCTGGCAGAAAAATTGGAGACAGTTGTAAGTCTGACACCCTGTTTTGTTCCCTTTCTGTCATGTGCATTGTTATTGTTAACTATTTAGAGCAGAGTTTTGAGTGCTCTTGTTAAGGATTAGCACTGAATGTTGTTTGCCATTGAGGAAATGCTTTTTTAAATATGTCCATCCCAGTGCACAGAAAGCGCTAAAGGGCACATTTGTGTGGGTGGAATAAAACTCCGTGCATTCCCTGAGTAATTCCCTCAACAGCATCTCCTATTATTGGAGGCAGTGGAGATGTTTGTAGCACCACTTAGGAGAATGTTGATAACAAAAAGCCCTCCCTCAAACCCATCAAGCGCACACTTGCTCACTGAAAGCTACATAAGTGAGGGTGTTAGATGAGAATTAGAGTGGAAGTGCTGGACAAGAATATTAGATGACTAGACAATTGGATGAAAGCTTTGCGATGCGCACCCCTGCTTCCAAAAAAAGTTGGAAAGGATGCCGAGTAAAATCTAGACAATATATAATGCACTCATTTCCATATCACTGAACCCTTATATTTAATCTAAAAACAAGAACAAAGACAGCATTGCATGCTGTAAGTAAGAATATTTAAGAAAATCTACACACATTTTGAATTTGATGCAAGCAACATGTTTTGTTTTTGTTTTTTAAAGATACCCAATCACATTTACCACTGTATTGCATCATCTCTCTTTTTACCAGCACACCGAGTGTCCTGAGGATGCTGTAGTTTAGAAAGCAAGTGTTTGCTAATTCTTGCTTGATATTGGATTCCAGCTGTTCAGAGCCTCCCTTTGTTTTAGTTTCAGTCTACTGAAAAATATTACATGATGTTGTGTACAGGTACCTCAAGAAAAATTCCCCAATTTTGATTTGTCTGTGCAATCCCACTTCCCTTCAGTCCATCTTAAATGAGCTCTGACTTGGAGAATGCAGCGTTTTTCTGACCCAAGTCATTTTCGCTACTTAATCAAGTCTGGTTTTTGGTTTTGTTGAACTAATTTTTCTCCCCATTCTTGCTTCTAAAAGACTCCAGTCTGCTGTTAAAATAGATAAATAAATAATGATTAAGCTCTAATAGATGTGAAATCCTCCACTAGACATTTTTTCAGCCTAACTTTCTAGCATGTTTTTTTTTCAGTATCTGATTCAAAACGGTAAATGGACCTATACTTATATAGCACTTTTCTACTCTACCTGAGCACTCAAAGCGCTTTATACAACTTGCCTCATTCAGCCATTCACACCAATTCATACAAGCACTTTTTTCTATGCTTTTTCCTGAGTAAGTGCTTTCTGTCTAACATCGCATACATTCATACGCCGATGGGTGGATCGGAGAGAAACTTGGGAAAAGTATCTCACCCTAGGTTATTTGGCACACAGACTGGGCGCAGCCAGGGATTGAACCAAAAACCTTCTGATTCGTTTTTAAAAAAATGACTATGTAGTTTTCAGAAAGACCAAAATATTTCTGGTCTGTCTTTGTGCTGCTTTCAGTCACATATAATTTATAAAAAGAAGGCAAATTAAGCTTTTGTTTGAGCTCTTATTACTAACTATTATACTAACTACTATGCTATTTATATGTTGAGTATGAACACATGCAGAGATCTTATGAATATTAAGTGGAATACATTGTCTCTCCACAGCTGGGGAACTATTTAAAGAGAGATCCAATCCTTGAAAAATACTACACCAAATCTGTAGTCACTGCATTCAGGTACTGTTGTGATCCTGAGTTCTTCTATTTATTTATTTTTTTAGTAGTGAACAGTCCGCTACAGTGCTTGTTTAGGTTTGATGTCCAAAAAAGAAAAGAAGATGCACTAAATCTTGAAGGAAGAAAATGATTGTTTTGCACAGAGGTTTTTGTTTTTGCTAGCATTACAGGATTCAATGTGGTCTAATTGGTTAATACCGCCTGGAGCTATGCTTGTAGTATTCCACAGTAGTAATATATGAATCAGTGGCTAGTAGCAGTAACTAATAATATTAGCTATTTTAGCTTTTGGTATTTAGCTGTGTAGGTTTTTGTGACCTCTTGAATGCTCAAGTCTGTTTCTTTGATTCCATTTCCATTTGTCTGCTTACACCAGCGAGGGCGTGAAAGCCTACTACTGGTCTCAGTTCAACATTCCACACAGCGACCTGGAGATGATACCGGACGTTTCAGAGGAGCGGATCTTGGATGCACTGGAGAGTGGCATTAGGCAAAGCCGCTCGGCAAGTGCCCCTGATGTCAAGATCAGTCAAGTCACTGCCTCACGTATGTAACACCAGGGTCTGGTGGGGGGGGTCACAAGACGTATTGCCCTAGTTGGTTTTAGTATTTGATTTTTAAAAATCAAGAAAGATAAAGCTTTGTGAATACAGATCAGAATAGCGTTATTGTTGTATGCTTTCCAAATTGGTATTCTGTGTGCTTTGTATTTATATTACAGGGGCTTGCTTTGAGTTGTGCTGATAAGATGATAACTGATAAGCCAGACCTCTCAGCTTGTGCTGCATCTGAGATTGCACATTTTATGCTGTTTGGATCCTCTAATGATATTAGCTGGGGCCTGGCCTCACTCGAGACAGCCATTTTTCTTCCTTCTGTCTTCTCAGCATTCACATTGCATTTGTCCACATCCTGGCCACCAGCCAAGTGTTGGCCCTGTGACTCAGTGGTTTCGGTCCTCCTTTTAAAATGATTTCTGTGGGTATGATTTGATGTTGCTGTCCCAGATAGTTAGACAGAGATGTATGAGTTGCTGCTGTAGGGCAAGGTGAGATGGAGCAGAAAGAGCTACACACCATCACCGGTTCCCTTAACCGCAGGGAAATGGAACAGAAAATGTGCAACCCAAATATTTTAGGCTCATGCATCAAATTCTATCAGCCTCCCAACTTTAGTGACCCATTCTTACCTTTCCTTCTGTTTCTCTGTCACCCACCCCCTCTCTCTGTCTCTAGTCACGGATTCTCGTATGGCCAGGGACCCAAGAGCCAGTGAGTACTGCATGTCCCATTTCAATCACTCGCAGTTGTAATTTTCCAGCTGGCTTGATGCTCACACTCCTGCCAGTCTGTAACGAATGACTGGTCTATCCTGTACTGTACATGTGCTGCTGCTATAGTCAGAGATTGAGAACTGAGTATCAGGCAAGAGTGAGACACTTTTCTTTGACTCCGTCTGATGGGTTCTAACGTAAAAGTCTATTCATTTATTTACAATATTTGTGTAAATATTTTTTACAAAGTCACTACAGGCCATGATGATGATGATTATGTTTTCTTTTGGCTGTTTCCTAGTGCCACATGTCCCTGCACACTCTGATTTAACCAGTGTTCTCATTCACAGATGATTGTTTCTACCGTCTGGAAGCTGACACAAATCCCCAGAATTTTTCATCTCCAGGGTACCCCACGGGCTACCCCCCCAAGTCACGGTGTCAGTGGCAAATCCGAGCCTCGGAGGAAAACGTTATAGTTGTAAATTTCCTTTATTTCTACATTGAGGATGACTGCTCAGACGACTTTGTCTACATCTATGACTCTTTGAGTCCAGACGATTCTCAGGCCATTACAAAGTAAGTAGTGGTGTAAATATCCAGAAGGTTTGTGGTAGGAGTATGAATAATGATTCTTTATTAAAGGAAATTAAAGGATAATACCACTATGCCATTTACTAGCTAAATGTCTTTTTGTTGTTACTGCCGTATTCCCTGTGAAAGAAATTCCATTATTTAAAAAAATACAAAAAATGTGATCAAATATCGAGTATGATATCAAATAAGCCATAACACCTATCAACATGTTGGCTTTTCAGCCCATTAGTATAAAAGGTGGTCAATTGTGCACTTTTCATAGAGGTCTGCTGTGCATTTTTCCACAGACACACCTGTGTATTTGCCTGCTAAACTACCAAAAACTGCGTTTGTAGTAGTTCCCACTATGCTGTGTATCTTCAGGACCACATTATGTCATGACTAATACAGATAAGGTGACAAAAAGTAAACCAGTTAATTGAGCTTTTGTTTCTACAGTACATCAGGTAAACTGTAGTATTGCTGTAAACCTTGGTAGGAGGATTTCTACCAACATTTGTCTTTTTAGTCCCGATGATCAAAGAGATTCACAGAAGAGAACTGGTTACTTTATGTTTGACTTAAAGGTTGCAAAAGGATATCTGAACAAATATTTTCTTGATGTAGGTGGAACATGTTCCACTCCAATCCTTTCACTGGATTTTTGATTACATTTTTTGGGGGCTCTGAAAGCCTTTAGTGCTATATGTCCCGTTTATTGTCAACTTCTGAGACCTTGGTGAGATTGAGTTGGCTCAAAAGGGACCTCTCCTTTCAAACGTGTGAAAGGTGCCACCCTGAATCCTGCTACAGCACTGTCTGTAATTGCACTTTGTGATCAGTGGGATGGATATGATTCTGAAACTACAAGCTCCTGAATGCAACATCAGTTGTAGCTGCAGGCAATTTCAAACCCAGAAACCACTGCCAAACAAATGCGTGTTACCAAGTGATGCATACAATTTTTATAATACTATTGAGTGATCAGCTTTATCCAAGGTGACATGAGGTTTATGAGAGCCATAATATAATACTCTGTAATGACATTATTCTACTGAGGGTAGATGTATTGCTGCTCTTGCAGCGTCATTCACACCTCCGTGGCTCTGCTGCCAGCAGAGCCACGCTAAAACTTTTTTGCTAATGTTCCCATTGTTTGACTTTGAAAGTCGGCCTAAGCAATTTCTGTCCATCTCTCTGCTTCATTTTCTCTTTCTCCACTTCCCTCTGCTTATCTATTGATTTCTTCTCAAATTATTATTATTATTTTTTCTATGAAGCATTTTAAATCTGTTTGCTGTATCGGTGTTTTAGTGCTTCTGGCTAAAAATGCATACAGTTACGTTTGCCCTCTCTTAGTTGGAGCACGTAATCTCCAGTCAGTAAATGCATCAGACACATGACTTGGCTTCATGGTTGTCTTTCCTGTTTTCAGACTGTTTTTTGGATTCCATACTCATAATCAATTTTGTTTACTTTGCTGCTTTACCGCTTCTCCTTGGTTCACAGGAAGTGTGGTCAGAGGCCTCCTTCTAACCCTCTGGAAGTTGTGTCATCTAACAACATCATGCTGATTAACTTTATAGCTGAGACTCATGCTCAGAAGCCTGGCTTCCAAGCCGCGTACAGTGTGATCCCCAAGGCTGATGGTAAAAAAGCAGACATGCATCTAGATGTGCCAAGATGTTACCTTTACATGTAAATCCATGACAAACTCTAGTATGTTCTGTAAGAATCTAAATGTATGACATGTTCATTTCAGTTACGTGTGGTGGCAGCCTTTCTCAAAAACAGGGAAACTTCACTTCCCCACTTTACCCAAGCTTTTATCCTCCTGCTAAAGACTGCAAGTGGACCATCACGGTATGTACCACTCTGCCTTTCCCCAGCCCCTCCTCTGCTTGAACCTTTACCCCCACACACCCCCTGCTCCTCCTCCTCCTTCACCATGCTTAGCCTGCCATGAGAGAGATGCTGAGGCAGCACTACTGCTCAGTACCTCTTCTATCTTCATCTGTCAGACTGCTGTTTCTACTGCAGTTCTAGCTGGGCTGCAGTGTTTTGTGTGTTCGGTTGAGTTTGTTGGTGTGCATGTAGTGTGTGCGTGTGCGCGCGCTCAGTTCCATGATAGCTGTGGCTTGGTGTGTATCTTAGTTCTGTGTGTGAAGGGAGGAAAAAAAAAAGACAATCAGCTATTCTTTTGTATTACAGGTCGCTCCTGGGAGCAAAGTACGGCTGAGGTTCACCATGTTTCGCATGAAAGAGCCTGGGGTGGACACGCGTTTATGTCACAAAGACTATGTGGAAATTATGGGAAACAAGTAAGATATTCAGTTCCTCATATTGATGTCCAAAATAACACAAAGTTGATTCTGATACCTTTTTGTTTCTTTCTTTTCCTCATTGTGCCAAGGCCACAGCGAAATATTAGAATGTGAAAACTAAAATGTGGTATTAACAGGTTCACATTTGGTGTGTATCCTGTCAACCTGTGACATCATGATGCACCAATAGCATAATTACCTCTGACCAGTTAGAATCATGTGGTTTTTATAGCTTTATCACGTGAGGAGAGATAAGAACCTAATAAAGATGAGGTTGTATTGGAGGATGGGATCCAGCATGCGACTTTCATCCACAACAGTTGGTTTTACGTCCCATATGAAATGTGGTATTTTTCATTTTTAGTTGCAGGAGTTGTAATTATTGGCAGTATTTTCATCTAAAAATATCAGCTAAATATGTTTTTCTCAAAAAAGCCTTTCTGGGATTCCTTCATGGCATATAGAAGGTGAATTTGTCCATGTGCTGTTTTGTTCCTATAATTTCAAACCTATGAGATTTTGTGATCAGTGAGTAACAGTGATGGTTGTGGAGAAGTAATTTTATTTGCTAATAGGCCAATACCAGTCAGGTTAATACTAATGTTGGCTGATATATGTACTATATCTACGCATATGTATATATCTGTTAACAAAGCTGTTTCCTTACTTCCTGGTCTGCTTTGACTGCCTTGTGTATTTTCCTTGTTTATTTACAGTAAACTGGTTTGTTTACAACTTTTCTGTCTTGTGCTGCCTCTTCAGAATCTGAGCAATTACTTTTTCACCAAAGCTGCCATAACCCTATCCAAAACTTAAACTGAATTTTGCTTTTGTGTTCCAGGTATTGTGGAGAAGTCGCATCGCTGTCTTTGACCTCTGACACCAACGTTCTAGTGGTTAATTTCCACTCTGATAGGTCTCACACTGACAAAGGCTTCAGTGCAGAGTACAGTTCCTATGATCCTTCAAACCGTAAGCCTTGTCTCTCAACTAAATTTACACAACATGTTGTGTTATGAGTGAAATGTCTGTCACAATGTGACGGTGACGGCTGTGAGACTGCACAGTAACCATGTTGTTAGATGGTAACTGACTGGTAGTCAAACGGAGCTGTTCATTGTTGATGCTTTCTCATCTGTGGCAGGGAAACTCAAGAGCGAGTCTAATCACTGAAGAGCTTATTTACTGACTCCCTTTTATTTGTCACTGTCAGTCAGGAGCACGTCACTTTCAATACTCTCCACTCTTTGTTGTCTCCAAGTTTGACTAAAATGAATTTATAATTGCTCTGATCAACAGGGGCAAGCATTGGCAGCATGACTCGTCTTGTGAAAATGCATAACTCTGTTTTGCTCAATTTGTCACTATACCCCCACCCACCCATGTTTTCTATGTGTTATGGGATAAGCTTGCCCTGACCGGTTTGCCTGCACCAATGGCCTGTGCATCGACCAGAAATTGAAGTGTGATGGCTGGAACGACTGTGGTGACATGAGCGATGAGAGGCAGTGCAGTAAGTTCGCCTTTATCCCTGCCCCGCTTTTCCTACCTTTATTCCTCAGAACTACTTTTTGGCATCCTTATTTGTGAATTTCCCAATCATTCATATATACATCTTCTTAAGATGAATTGTTGAAATTTCTGTTGTTTCAGATTGCGATAAGGACCAGTTCGCTTGCAGTAATGGCATGTGTAAACCGAAACTCTGGGTGTGTGATCATGTCAACGACTGTGGGGATGGAAGTGATGAGAAAATATGCGGTAAGTATTCCCACCTCTTAGAGGACTCTTCAGGAAATGCAAAAACCCTATTTAGCCTATTTGCTGTGCTAATTGTGTTAACATTAAAAGTCCATCACCCCTACTACTACGGCCAGTGACGACTTGGCTGTGTACGCTCATTATTCTATCTAGAATAGAGTTTGTTTGAAGCCTTGCCCAGTCTGCTCAGCGTCCTGTCAGATGCTTAATCATATACAATGCATGCAAGAACTCTGGAGGCAGATTTTAATGGCTCCTGTGGCTGCACCACTAATGTCCTTCTAGAACTCATTGGATTGTCTTTTGTTCAAGTTTTTATTTATTTATTTATTTTAAAATTTTATTGCAATTTCTTCACCTTGTGTTCTATTGCCTCAAGGTTGTGCCCAAAATGAGTTCCAGTGTGGGAACGGGGTTTGTCTGCCACAGAGTGTTCAGTGTGATGATAAGCAAGACTGCAAAGATGGGAGCGATGAGGTTGGTTGTAAAACTGGTGAGTGTCTTCTGTTATTCTCTTCCCTTAAAAATCCCGCCAACATTAATGATTTATTTGGGTTGTTTGTTTTTAAGCATCTTACACAAACCATTAAATAATGAACCTTCATCCACAGCTCAGCAGTTATAGCAGTTTAACAAAGACGTTTCTCTGAAGACCTGATTCTTAACCCGAAACATTTTATGTTAGCTTTGTGTTTCTTTTTGTTTCATTCCCTCCTACTCTGTACTTCGCTCTTTATCAGCTTCCCTTTCGCTCACTCAGACACACACAGGGGGCACCCTTGCGTTTCCTTTTGATTCTCACTTCTGTGAATAAAGAGGGATATTAGACCTGAACCCCAATCAATATGTCCAATCAATGCAATCAGCTCCTCAATCACTCTGCATTGTGTATTCAAGCGTCACTTTGAAGCCTCTCTGATTGCATACTGTTTTACTGGTTAAAGCGTGTTTTTGATTTTGGGACGTGTCTCCACCCCACTACAGATACGAGTATATGCACTGACTATAGCTTCAAGTGTAAGAGCGGAGTTTGTATCAACAAGGTGAATGCCGAATGTGACCGCGTCCAGGACTGCTCTGATAACTCGGATGAGACCATTTGTGGTAAGACGTGCTTTAATTGCTTCACCCCTTGCGAGATTTGGGTTTTTAAAAATTGCTGCAAGTGGTCCTAATCTCTTCACTGCCATTCAGGTTAGATTGGAGAGGCTGGGCTGAGCTGCATGTTGGCTGTCTGTTAGAAAAGAGCCCCAGGCCTCGACTGCTTTTATTTCATTCTTTGAAAGCAGCTCTTGTTATCTCTGAACTTTTTTGGGGTTTTTTTTACCTACATTTCAGCCTCAGGCTTTGTCTGTATTTATTAATTTAATTTAATTTCTTTTCTTTTTTGTTTTGTTTTTTGGATCGGCTAATACGCATGTATGCCTTTATTAAGATTCCAAAAAGAGTCATTATTACATTTGAAGCCAGGTTTGGCATCATGATGGCTTTAACTTAATCTCAGTTTCTGATTTTTCTCTCTTGCTTCCTCTCTGCCTCTGTTATATTTTCTGTCAAATTACAGATTGTGGCACCAGGCCTTACAAGCTGAATCGCATCGTAGGAGGGCAGAATGCTGAGCTAGGGGAGTGGCCTTGGCAGGTTAGCCTTCACTTCTCAACCTACGGGCCGACTTGTGGTGCCTCAATCATCTCTAACACGTGGCTTCTTTCGGCCGCTCACTGTTTTGTCACCAGCAACTCAGAGTAAGTCACAGATCCGTAGCACTCATACACAACTGTAGTTCTCTCTGTGTAACATACAAAGTGTGCAGAAAAAAAAAAAACCAGAGTTCGGCAAAAAATTGCAGAAGGAATCTTGGTGGTGGTATCCTGGGAATGTTTTCATCAGAGTGCCCTATAGGTGGTGCACTAAGCATACTGTTCAGACTGAGACAATTGAATTATGACTGAGCTTGAGATGGGTTTATTTTCACATATTTGCCATACAAAGCATTTAGTATTCCTAACAGTTCTACACATTTTATTTTTTGAATAATTTCTAAATCCAATCTAAAAGTTAAATGCAAAACTAAGCATGAGTGTAGCAGGAGCTGCATTTGTGAAGTTTTAAATAAAAAGTTTTTGTTTAGCGTGTAAGACAGGTCTGGTCATTTTTGTGTGACACCAAAAAATGTGAGATGTTTTTTGCTTTCAGTTCAAAACTTTTTTGTTTTTTAATATATTTTGGTTGAGCTGACGGAACCAACAGCAGTGATTAAAGTCTTAAATGTTGTTGCAGGGCTGTTGTAATGGATTACGTTAGATTATGCCATGCTTACTCATATTTCTTCCCTATTTTATACCTAAATATATAAAAATGTCAAACTTTCCTCCATGATACTGTACTACCGCAGGAACAACAATCCATCCCGCTGGCTGTCCTACAGTGGCATGCAGAACCAATACAGCCATGACAACGTGCAGTCCCGCAAATTGAAGAGAATCATCCCCCACCCGCTCTACAATCAAATGACATCTGACTATGACATTGCTCTGCTGGAGCTCAGTGAACCTCTGCAATTTGCCAATACCATACAACCCATCTGCCTACCCGATTCCTCCCATGTTTTCCCAGCAGGCATGTCCTGCTGGGTCACAGGCTGGGGCGCTCTCCGAGAAGGAGGTATTATAAGTGTAATGGTGATTCTCTGAACAACTGTAGTCATTTTAAATTTAATTTAAAAAAAAAAATCATTTATGTATTTATTTTTTGGTGACCCACTCTGTTCTTTACATTCCATTCACTGTCCATACCGTTTCCTAATCTCTCCAATCACGACATACTCCTCTTGCACTTCTTCCTGTATCCCTTTCTCTAATCTACTTTATTCCCTATACATATATTAACACAGACATCGGCTCTCCTGTGTCACCTCTTAAACCTTCATTAGCTAACATTAATCTACCCCGTTAACCAGTGACTGTAGAAAACAGTCATTGGTTTATACCTTTTTTATGACAGCACTGGAAGGCGAGGTCATGTAACACAGTACTGATCCCTTTGTCGTACTCTAGCAGGTCAAGCTGCACAGATTTTACAGAAAGCATTAGTGAAAATCATCAACGACTCCGTGTGTGACGTGGTCACAGAAGGCCAAGTCACCTCCAGGATGCTCTGCAGTGGATACTTGTCTGGAGGCGTTGACGCATGCCAGGTGAGATTGTGTGCACATTTCCTAAAAGCATGAAAAAAAAACAATTTGTTGATGTGGGCAGATCGCATCCAAACGCAGTCTAACAACCATTCTACTCCAACCGTGATCACCAGGGTGACTCTGGAGGCCCCCTGGTGTGCTTCGAAGAGAGCGGGAAGTGGTTCCAGGCGGGCATTGTGAGCTGGGGAGAGGGCTGCGCTCGTCGGAACAAGCCTGGCGTCTACACGCGCGTCACCAAGCTCAGAGAATGGATTAAACAGGAGACAAATATTTGATGTTTGTGTGGGGAACAGGCTGGGTTGCAGAGTTAACCCATCCTGTTGCTCAAGGTCATCAGTGCTTTAAAAAAAACCCATCAGAATGAACATGTTATTCTGATCAGAACAAAGCTACTCGCATCAGCTACTTGACTTCAGGCATGGTATTTTATGTAATTTTTAAAGACGATCTTTAGCACAATGAGCATAGTTACCCCCATCAATTCTTGACCTCTTTAAGCGGTAAATACACAGAGAAATATGAAATATATAGTTTGTGAATTATTTTTTTCACTCTTTTTGTCCAGTGTGACTATTTTAAGGGATTCAGAGTGTTTCTGAGTACATTATCATACTCTGGAAAGTGGTTGTATTTTAAAGTTTTTAATGTGATTTTTTTTTTTTTTTTTTCCCCCTCTTTTGTGAGATGCTTTCATCCTCTTGCGGCAGTAAATATTGCCAGTAAGCTCATGCGGTAAGTAGCTATAAATTTATGGTTTTATGTAATGACAGAAGTTTCTTTAAAAACAAAAAAACAATAGCTACAATAAAAACAAATAACACAAGAACAAAAATCCAGGTAGGGGAATTTTCATATCCTACTAAAATGAATGAAAACCAAAAACTGCCTTGAAGGTAGAAAATGCAGTAATCAATCTAAAAGCCCACAGTTTGCTTTGGAAAATGGCCAGCAATAAAGTACACCGGTTTGTAGTCAGCAGTCTGAAAATAGGAAAAACACTAGCATGAGCATTGAAGAGTTAGACTGGAGTGATTCATAAAAAGTTGTAGCAACCCAGATCAGTTTATTTGTTATTTATAGAGGGCCCTGCCGGTGAATGATTAGGCAAAATCTCATACTCAAGAGAAGGGCAGAGGGTGGTGTTTAGGTCTTGCTGGCTTTTGCACATGTCTGCAGTTAAGCTCAGGGCGACTGGGGTCTTCAATCACACAGCCTGAGTGTAAATCAGTGCGGTTTTCACTAGTTGCAAGAGCAATGCAAGCCATTCTTCACCGTGAGAGCTTCCTCTGTTTGATCACGACCCAACTTCACCTTAAGCAACATATCTGACCCGATGGTTTATTCTAACGCAACTGTTACACTCAGGATAAGAACTAGAATTTTCCAAGGATTATTTATTGAAGGGGAGGAAATATTAGAATAAACAATTGGCAGAGTTATATACATATGTAAATGTGTATTATTTTTTCAAAATATGTATGTAGAAAGTTGGGAGAGGCTACAAATTTTAGAAGATATTTTCATAAGCATTGTATACAAACTGTGACTTGGATTATGGACCTTTTATTCTCTGTGTGTGTGTGCGTTTGTATCTATTTTTATATGAGTCATGATAATAAACATCTTTTATCTGATTCCTCTGCACCTAATTACATTACCTGTATCATTTGTCTTTGATGGGGCCTTGTTTTGTATTATGTTGTGCATAATGAATGCAGGCCTTGTGAGACTTTGTCCCTTCTCACAGTAGAATTGTAATGAGCGTGTTCTTCTCCTCCCTGTCGTGAGCAGCGGGCCTACCTGGGGAACAAAGGTGACAGGGCGAACTCATATTGTCAAATAATACCTACCTTTGTCGCAGCTCTATCCTGTTACCCTTCGAGATAGGCGCGTTGGCTTCAGGAGGTGGATACACATACAGTGGGGGTTCTACTATCTCATCTGTCTTCATTAAAAGCAGCACACCACTGGGGGAATAGGAAAATCAACATAGACAGTGCTGCTAATTTATGTATTCATCATTTTTGCTACATGGGAGGCTTTGTTTTTCACTGTTCCCCATGCCCAATGAAGCAGCTCACCAGGCTGATTAACTCAGAGGATTCACACGAGCCGTGTTCTTTATCGGAAATGGTTTTATTTAAATATAAATATGTGTACAAAGGTACAAGCAACAATAGCTCTTTTTTTTTTTTTTTAGCAAATAAAATTCTTAATACAATATTAAAAGAATGAACAAACAAAATGGCAATTAGTTGTGTTCCAAAGCATGGTAACTGCATTCAGAGGAATGATGAACAACTCAGACAAGAAAATGTGTGAATACCAAATAAAATAAACTGAGATAGATACATATGTATATAAAGATACTTTACAGTAGAGCAGCTTACACGCTGTACTTTAAGGCGTATACAAAATAGAAAAATAAAGACAAGCGATGATGTTTGCCTCCTCACTTTAAGTGACATTTGTTCTCTCATTAGGCTGCCTGGGAACGTTTCATTTCTTTCTTTATATTTTTAGACAAATGGCAGTACAAGCGTCCACACCAAAAACGCCCAGGAAGTGGAATGCGGCCGGGTCAGGTGCAGTAACCGATGTCTCGAACATGAAATGGACATGAATATAAACGCTGAAGAGTTTCACTAGACACATCATTTGCATGCAACAGAGAGAAAGTATGGACTTAGCCATTTGTACAGATACTCAGTTTCAGGGTAGTACTGTTTCTTGTAAACATAGCGAGACGATTTGATTGAGTTGAGTTGTAAAACTTGAGAGCGGGTGGTCCCCCGTCAGGACCGCCTTCCACATCTTACCCCACCTAAGCCTGCCGAAGTTGATTCTGCGTTCAAGTTTATTTCAAGTTCAAGATTGCCACCATTTTCCAAAAAAAAAAAAAAGACCACTTTTGATTGTTCTGGTAAGTTCCTACTCTTGATTTTACAATCAGAAAGTACAGCAGGAAACGATGCAGGGGTAGATCAACAGTTTTCAACATCAGCCCCTATTTTTATTACCTATACAATTTGTTACCATCTTTGGGTTTTCACTGCCTTAACTCGTCCGTGTCAGTACAACAGAGTCCTCCATTAAAACGAAGGCAATATGCACATTCTTCTCTCCCCACTGGCAGACAACACTTTGTGTCCAACGTGTTAAGGTTATCACGAGAGGCTCCAGAAACACAGGTCAGTCCAGATGTATTCCACTTACAATAGAGTGCCTGTAGCACTTGTTGGTTAGTGCAGCTAGCCTGTTGTGCAGAATAGTTCATGTCTGTCTCTGTGGATAGCTCAGTCATTTGTAGATGATAGAGACACAAATGTGCTTACAATTCCTTTCGCATGCCAACGAAAACATCAAAATGACAGACAACAAAGGTTCTTCACACCTTTTTACCCCCCCCTCCTCAAATACTGTACGTGTTAGCTCGTACTGTCTTCTTTCAAAGTATTTACGAGGTTATGTTTACAATTAGTGTTGACACAAAGTAAACTCTGGAATGCAGGTAAACAGCTACCCCAGTCGTTTTGGCCACCCAAATTTAAGGGATGCATTTGATTTATTTTCTGGTTGGCCCACGAACTCGCAGAACATCTCCACAAGTTTGGGTGGTCATCATGTAGAGACAACCTAGTGAGGTATCGCACTGTAATGTTCATCATATGCTTGACTTGAACATCACAATCTGCTTAATTTTCTAGCTCTACAAGTTCACATTATTGTAGATGCTGCCGTCCATCGCAGGTTGGTTATTCATAACCGAAATCATGCCTCCCTTCTTATACTGTCCTAACAAATCCTTGCAGGACTGTCCGAGTAAAGAAAGTTCATGTTAGTCCGCCCACACATGTGGTGACAAATAGTTATCTACTCACTGCTTCTTTACTCTTTTTTTTTTTTTTTGGCCCTATCAGACATGAGTCTGCATACGTTGCGAGGGCCGGCCATAGTCGGACTGCTGGGAGGACACTTGTGACGAGGCGTAAGAGAAGCGAGATGAGCTCGAGACCTTGCTGGCCTGATCTGATTGGTCGTACGCATCCACCTTCTCATAGGAAGCAGGCTTAACATAACTGGTGAAGGCGTGGCCATAAGTAGCAGGTAGGTAAGCAGTGCCACTGTAGAGGGGGTCAGTGGGATAAACTCCCCCCTGCTGGGCAGGCTGCTGCTGGGCAGCTTGCTGCTGTTCGTATGAGGTTCTGCTCACTGTGGTGGTTGCGTATCGGTGGGAGAAGTCATAGGCACGGGGTTGGGTGCCGTGCTGACCGTACACGGGGCTGGGGGAGGGCAGCTGCGATGGAGTGTAGACCGGCCGAGAATTGGGCACGTATTCAGAAAATCCGCTGCCGCGAATATGACGGTCGTCGTGGCCACGAACATTGTAGTAACCATTGGTAGGATCCTTTGAAAAAAAACAGAGGGGAAAAAAACATCAATTTGACTTTAGTTCAGTATCATGTGGAAAAAAAGCATGCTTGCTATTTTGAGAGTTTCTTCAAGGAAGTGTTTTTCAGTTTTACCTTGATGTCCGATCTTTCGTCCTCCTCCTCTTCCAGGAGGTCGCTGTGTTCTGTGCGCGATGTCCCGGGAGACTCGCTGCTGTTTGGAGCCTGAGGGAAGACCAAGAATTATTAGGATGAACAAGACCTTACTAGAATAAGAACAAAAGAAAGCCTGAACATTATGTTATAATAGTACTGATTTCTCTCTCACAGTCCATGGAGATGTTTGACATACAGAGAAGCTGAACTAAATAGACCTACCATGGGTTCTTTGACATCTTCCTCGTCGTCGTTGCCGCGTGTAGCATTGTGATCGCTGTGAACAATCTGAACTCTGATGTCACTCTTGGAAAGACGAGTGCATCTTTTGCCTATGGGAAATGAGAACAGATTCACTCAACATTGCGAGGAAGATTTGTAAATCCAATTTACACGAAGCTTTCTATTCAAACTCAAGGTGAAACGGCACAAAATTGAACATAATCTTTTCAATTTTCAGCTCGCAGGCACTTTATTATGTTCGATTTGAAGAATTGGCTGTTGACCCTCCTGCCCATACTAACCGTTGAGCTCACCTTTGCCTGTGTGCCTGCAGCAGAGGGAGACCAGAGTGATGACACAGATGAGCAGGACACAGCCGCCACCTACTGCCCCACCTACAATTATCAACATCGGCAGTGCTTCTGCAAGAACAATGGTAACAGTGGCAAAGAGGGTGAGGGTCGATGGTTTGTCAAGAGATGGGGAAGGGATGAAATGAGAGACAGCAGAACATAAGTGTCTAGGAAAGTGCATATTGGAGCAAATGAAAGGAACAGAAGAGATTCTGTTCTCTTTTTTTTTTTCTTGCCTAGCTAATCTGAAAAATGCTCTAGTGCCCATAAATTGATCTGCAGTAAGCCCTGATCTTCTCACAGTGACTGTAACATATGCTCATGTGGGCAATCCAGCATCTCACAGCCTGGCTATTGTCTCTAATCTCTCTGAAAGAAGGGTAACAAGGCCTGACATGCAATGAAGCAATAGACAGTAATCTAATTAGAGATTCCAGGAGATAGCGCTGCCCATTTCTCTGGAGACCCTGCTCTGCTACGTTGATGTAAATTACTGGCGAGGACCTCATTTTTGGTGTCTACTGCAACAAAGGTTTCCCCTAGCATCAGTGGAGTCGTACCACCGCTGTTTAATTTTAAAACCACTTAAGGGGCCTGCAGCCTGAGATGCTGAGCTTGGCTATAAGACATTGATAGAGACTATGATCCCAGCTGCAAACACATGTGGCTTCCTCTAATTGACTTTTGTCCCTAATCAATATCTATGTTATGGGGCAAACATATTCATTAAAGAAGCCATCTGCTGATTAAATCATATCGATTAGAAGAGCATAATTAAGATAAGCACGAGACGGGGGCACTACTTTTACCCAATCTTCACAGCAAGAACCGAGACTATCGCTATAACTCCTGTGCAGGAGTATTACTCTTGCCCGTGTGTACCTTGCTCCTTCAGCGTGACCAGGGCAGTGCCTGTGCCGAAGCGGTTCCAAGCAGTGCAGTTGTAGCGCAGCTGGAAATCTTGTGAAAGAGTCTCAGATAGCACCAGAGACGACACGACTCCGTGGTCACTGGTTACTGTCTGCACTGAGTAACGACCGGAGGAGCCGGAGGACAGGCTCATGTCCCCAAAGGTCCACACCTGTGGAGAAGAGTGAGAGAATAGACAACAGGGGGTAAGTCATTGTTCTATAAAGAATCCTTCACCTGTGAGCAAAGCAGAAGCCGGCACGGCTGTTTATCCTTAGATCCCTGCCTGCTGCTGTGTGAACGCCGGCTCTCTCTCTCTTGTGCTTTTTCCCTGCTGACCTCTGAGGTGCTCGGTGTCTGACACAACTCACGGACTCATGTTTAAGCTGCCTCCCACGTTTGCCCTGCAGGTGAAGCCTAAGGAGGGTTAGGTAGCTACACTGGGAAATAAGGCTACTTTTTGCCGTGTCTAGCACAGGGCCAGCAGGGCACCTGTCTCTCACTTCTCCTCGCACCCTAATTATCCTCTCTCAGCCCAGCGTACATTCAGCAGTTCAACAGGGTCAGACGACTGATGCCTCTTGGGCCGCTAATTGAATGTGGTCTGGCTGAAACCTGCAGGAAGCCATTCTTTTAGCAGCTCCGATAACTCCACAATCATTCCGGTCAGTGTCTGTGTATATGTTTTGTTTTAGCAAGCGAGGTGGAGATGTGCTGGTGCAAAGGTGTAGAAGTGAGGTTAGGGGTAAAGCTCATGTTAGTGATGCTGCTTATGTGGGCGGGGTAAGGAAGGGGGAGTATGTACAAACTGAGTGTGTGAGCTAATAAGCATTAGTGAATGACAACACACAACACAAATAAGAGGATCACTTACAATCTTATCAGGTGGGGGGCTGCTTCCCACCCGGCACTCCAGCTTGCCCTTGGAGTGTTTGACAGCGTGCTGTGTGGCCTCTGCTGTGATGATAGGTGGACCTGTGGGCAGATGAAAGAAAGTGAAGGAAATAAAGAGAGTTTTAAAAAAGACATACAAGTGCAAGCATACAAAAAAAACCTAGACAGTAAAGTGGTGTTAGAAATAGAAATATATATCTATAGATGAATAACTAAGTAACCATTTCCTATATCAGGCCCATCCATTGGCACAAAGGATAAATCTGGTATGTATTAATCTCATGACTTTTCTGTAATCTTTGCTCTTTTTCTGAAATGTTTCATGAGAAAACTCTGCTTTGGTGTTTGAAACTATTGAAAATACTAAAAAAAAATGTTTTAACTAAACAAGTAACTAGACACAGCAGTTGTCAACTGAATGAGTAAAAAGAAAAAGATATATATAGGTTTTTAAAGTAATGAGGAGTAAATTTAACATAAAAAAAACATACTTAAGTGATTTATTTTTTTCTTTTGTTCTTTAAGAAACTTCTTACCATTTACAGTTAGAGTGACATCTCTTTCTGCAACTCCAATACGGGGTACAATGGCCTTGCAGGTGTATGTGCCAGCATCCTCCTGAGTAACAGCCTTCAGCTGCAAGGTGTTACCATTACTGAGCACCTAGTGAGAAATCCAGGGAGACAAGTGAGAAGTATGTTAGAGACAGAAAGAGACAGAAAAAACAAGGTTGTGAGCAGAAGAGGCAGGCGAAAGCAAAGTGGGACCTTTATCAGTGGCCCACTCACTGTGCAGGCAGCACAGAGGTGGGCTGACCATTGTAACAAATGCTGGTGGTTTGAGTTTAATTTCATTGTGAAGAGCTTTAATCACAGCATTAAGCACTCCAGCCACCGCTGAGTGACCGTGCTGCTGTGGAGATTGTTGCAATTAAACAGTGGGGACAGAACGAAGCATGTGTGAGTGGGCCCTAGCCTTTGGAGCTGCTACACTCACTCACTCCTTAGCTCATTGATCCTGTCATTCCATCAAGCTGTGATTAATCCATTTACCCCCGCGCCATCCTCCTCCCTCCCTCCATCTTCACATCTCCCTCTCACTCTACATTTTTTTTAATTTCACCACGCTTATGGAGTAACCCAATTAATCTATTACTCATGGCTGTGTGAGGGACAGTGGCAGTGGGTGGATTAGAAAAAATGTCTGCACCATTCCCTGAGTGTGGCTGAAAGCATTCTCTCTTTAAGATGACAGCATTGCTTATGCCATCCCACAGCATTCTTGACCGGGGGTGCTTTTTCCAGCATAGCTTCAGAAATTACATTAGTTGCCAAGAGAGATCTCCTATGGGATGCCCCCACTAATGGTGTGCACGCTAGAACACTTTTACCAGCATGATGTAACGTGAAGGTGGAAGTGTCCCATTTGTTCCACCTGCAAAATTGACTTTAAGGAGATAGATACGCAAGCCTAGCTGGGCCTTTGTGCTGTCGAGAGGCGGGAGATGCTGCTCTAAAAGTTACAAGTACAAGTAGTGATTCTCCCCTTGAATGAGTGATTGATTGACCGATTGATTAAGTCGGGATTGTGACAACGTGTCGTGTGCTCTGATGATGGTGCTCTATGAATCTGTCATAGGACAGGCAGTTTTCTGCCAGAGGCTTTAGCCCTCAGGGAGAGTGGTTAGAGGAGGTGTTGAAGTTTCTGCCTGAAAAAAGGAAGTGTGGGAAAAAGTGTGAGGGATTCATGCCTCAAGGCCATGTGTGAATGTTTCTCTCCGGAGGAATGGTGCTGAGGTGTGGTGCTGAAGCTTTAGCATCAAGAAAATATGCTGGTGACTGGCTTTTTTTGTTGTTGTTGTTGCCTTACCACACTGGAGCCTTGCTTGGTCCAAGCCAGGGTCAGAGGAGGGTTTCCAGTCCACGCACAAGTGAAGGCTGCATCCATGCCTGTATCCACTGTCATGGGCTTCGGCTCCGACAGCAGTCTGGGGCCAACTAGAAGGGAAGCAATGCAGGCGGCCAGTTAGAATCAGTAAGAGACTTTTTTTAAAAAGCTGCTCTACCTTCAATATCTGAAAACACAAACCACACCGCGTACAGTGTTTGCCTTCAGTTAAACTTACACTGGACATCAACCAGAGTGCTGACATTGGTGCTGCCCACAGAGTTGGACACCTCACAGGAGACGGGGTCTGTGAAGTAGGAGTAGTCCACTGTCACCTCAAGGCTATCCCCATTTGCTTCGGAGATGGGGACTCCTCCTTTCGACCACCTGGAACAAATGAATGATCACAGCTCCATTAGTTCTGGTAAGGAACGGTGCGATGCGTATCAAAGTGGCTGTTAGCCGATTTGTGGCTTGTGCCAATCAAACAGCCCATTTAATCCACGGAGTCTACTTGGCATCTTTTTGTCTCAGTTTATAACATTTTTGCAGCTTATAAAATTCATTTTATTAGGCTTTTATGTCTCAGTGCAACGCAGAGGTTTAGAGTGGACACAGAAAAGACAGATACCTGTATCCAGTGATTTCAGGATTGGCTGAGGCAGAGCAGATGAAGAGAACCTTGGCTCCCTCTGTTACAGTCTGAGGCTGGACTGACAGAGTCACTGAAGGGGGGTCTGTGAGAAGCAGAAACATTCATGTCACTGACATGCATGACTTTGCAAAAGCATTCATTGGTCTCCACAGAACACTGGTGACTGCATGCTGCACGTTGATAATTTCAGAGTGTTTGTAGGCAGGTGGATGCTGGACTCACGCTGGACATTGATAGTGACTGATGTCTGTCGTCCAGCAGGGGCAGCTGGGTTAACAACCCTGCAGGTGTAGGTGCGTCCGGAGTCACTGTCCTCTGGAATGATTGGAAGCATACTGACAGCTGTTTCCCTCTTCCTATCCTCCATTAGGGACTATGAAGAAGGACAAAAACGAAGAGGTGAGTAAAAATCAGCTCAGCGTCACACAACAAAGTTGCATGTCATTAGCGACTTCACCATTTACACACTGCCAGTCTTGTTTTATTTTTTTCCATGCGTGAAGCATTAAAAATTGCCATCCTGTTCCTTGGCATGGCACTTAAATCATATATTTTATGATGCAGCAGGGGATATTGTGCTGTTCCCACATTTCTGAGAGTGTTCCCAGTCAGCGCTCCTTGTTTGTCATCATCTTTTAAATCTATTTACTGCTCACAGAAATCAATACGCCTAAGTGAGGAAAGGTGTAGATTCTGAGGATATGGCTCACTGCTCTCTCACTTTCTTCCTCTCTTCCTCATACATAAGAAAAAAAAACAACAAAAAAAAGAAAGTGAAAGCTGAGCTGCCTGCGTGTCCTTTTTTTTTTGGTTGGTGACAGCGAGGGAGGGGTGTCACACATCATTGGAAAAGAGCAGGGGCGAGCCGAACCTTTTCCCTGGACAGCCAGATCAATGGAACAGGTCTTCCATTCTCTAAGCCAGACACACCAAAAGCATTTTTATGCTAGATCAAATCACATCCCTCCCTGTCGCCAGCCCTCACTTGGACAGAGCACAGCCTACCCCCAATTTCACTCCTAAACGTTGGAAATTCTCTTGTTCTTTCTTTTTTTTATTTTCACAAAGCTATTAACAACACTTTGCTCTGTCTTCACTCCCCTCCACCCCTTTCTATTCCTCTCCTCCACATTCCTCACATCTCATCTCATCTCCTCTCTCTCCCCCTGTAGCTCGCTTCCTTCCCTCCTCACTGTGGGCTCTCGCCTCCTTAAATGTGGCGTTTAGCATCGTTTAGCGTGGTCAGAGAGCATGAAAAATGTGACACTTTCCCAGCCGCGGCTGGCTTACGCTCTGGCGCATCCCCATTGTGTTTTTACAATTGTTGTGGGTGATTTCTTCTTTGCAGAAACTCTACTGTATGAAACACTCATGCCTGTCTGAGCTTTGGCATGCTCCAGTTATGCTGTAGTGTGGCTGCATTAGTGAGCAAAAAAAGGGGAGGGAGTAGAGAGTGAAGAAGGCTGAGGTGGTGTGGGGTGAGGTGGTGTAGGGAGGGGAGAGAAGCTAGGGTGGAAGTCGTGGGGTGGGTAGGGGGGGGTCAGGAATGAGTGGATGCGGAAGGGGGACTGCAGAGAGTAAGCGAACAAATCTTGTGAGGAAAGGGTGGCGATGGAAAAAGAAAGTGTGAGATACCGTGAAAGATAGATGGAGAAAAAAGCATCCAAACAGAAATGAGGAAAAAGATAGTATTATACCCCGAGAGAAAATATTTCTGTTTTTTGAATAGCTTTGCATTTATTTCTGCCCGCTGTTACAGTTTGTAATATTGTGTAGGTGTGTGGTGATTGAATGATAATGCAAAACACGGATCTGTTCTCACTGTACCTTGGAATAAATTGCAGTTTCCATGACTTCTCCATCTCTGTACCAGGTGATTTCAGCAGCAGGTTTGGCTCCCGAGGCTCTGCAGGTGAGGTTGTGCGGTGTGTGGGCCTTGAGACGTACAACGGGGCCGCCTTCCACCACAGGGTCAGAGGGAGGAACTGTAATGCAGAAACAAACATACAGCTCAAGACAAAAAGACTCATTGCAGCTCCGGGCGAGCGCAGAACCGCAAAGACGCATTACTGATATTGAGCTTGCTGTTGCTCTTAGCCCATCGTCAATATATAACAATACCTTCTTATTGCCAAGTGTCTATTTAACAAGGTGTAGTTTCAGACAGGAGAAAAGGCCGAGAGCTGTTGTCATTTGGTGAAAGAAAAAAAAAGCACACACACACTCAAACTTATTTATTTCCTTTCTTGGGGCTAGCATTATTGCTCTATTTGCTCTTACTGTTGCAGAGTGATGTTTCAACTGAATTGCTTATTTGTTCATTTATTTGCATGGTTTCGCACGCACCACTGTCAAGCCAAGCGTGCCACCCCTGATGAAGGCGTCTATCTCCCCAACCAATAAGGGAAGGCGTAAACATGGGGTTTGTGCTGGCCTTTCTTGCACCCTCTACCGAACCAATTTCACTGTGTGTATCTGAATTGTCAGAGGTCCTTCCGCTGCCGCGGCACGGACACTAATGGAATCCGAGTGCTAGGTGATTTTAATTTCCATGCCGATTCCCCTGACTGCACTCCCACCGTTGACTCCTTTGACTGTGCAGGATTGCTTTGGTCTCATCTGGCCACATTGATTTACGCACACACAGACACACACATACACTCACAAGTTAGGCGCACGCTCCCTCCTCATGTCCACACAAAAACATGAGCAATGCATCTGATTTCATTTATGTGTTTATGAAATGCACATAATGTTCATGAAGCACCAGCCACGGTGTCGGCCTTGGTCTTTCGAGAGTGCGTTTAATGTTGAAGAGGCAGTTTTATCAAGTTTTCATGACTGCCTCCACACACACTCTCTGGATGTGTGTGGGCATGTGGCGACCGCACTGCTTCGTGCTACGCTGCGCAGCTTTTGGCGGTGACACGAGACAGATAAAGGTGGGCAGATGAGCTCGGGTGAGTCCTCAGATTCTGTTCATTTAGCTGAAATGTTTCTACCTACCACTCAATTTGCCCTCCCATTGTTGTGCTATCTGCACCACTTGTCACTCTGCCTCAGTGACTTTGAACAGACACCTCCATGCAACGGATGGATTCAGTGACAGCAGGGTCTTTGTGGAGAAATGTTCACATAAGCTGCAGCAACAGATCTCTATAATTGTTCCCTTTGAGTTTTCCTTTCTTGATGAAAAATGCTTGCCTTGCAGGTCCATTTATGGGCAATTGACAGGGCTAATTTATAGAGTGATATTCCTTTTCATGCCACCAGATGCCAGCAGTACTATGTCAACTCCAATTCCCAAAAGATCCGGCCCCCCTCCTCCTCCTCCCCGTACTCCCCCATCCCTAACCCACTCCGCTCCACCTCACCCCACCTCTGAAGGTCTGTGTGAAGAAGTAGATCACTCACATCACGTTAATGTAAAAACCGCCGTGCGGTTGACAAATGTTGTGGCTCACTGTAAAATGTGCTAACTATGCAGACTTTCAAGCGACTACGCAAGTCATTTGTGACTGCAGCAATCACATTACCCTAGACGTCGAGAGTCTTGATTATCGCGACTAAGAATGCTGGCGTTTCTTTTTTTTTTTCTTCTTCTTCTCATGGTTGAGTCTTATTTGGTTTGAATTATGCTTTCAAGGCATGTTTTCCACTTGGAAACTGTACAGATAACGTTATCTATAAGCGCTGATTGAAAAAAAAACCCCCAAACAAACTATGAAGTTTAAGACATTTAATGTTGTGTTTTGAAGGTGATTCATTTCAGGGGATGAACATGTAGGGTAGTTGTCTGCAAGCTTTTATGTTCTGCGATGAAGACACTCCCCTGATTTTTCCCAGGCACTGCCAGCCTGCAGGCCTTGGCACAAGGGCCGACTGTGAGGATCATGCGTGAGCTGTGTATCTTACCTAGTACAGTGAGCTTGGCACGGTGGGAGCGAAGCGCTGCCTGTGTAGCCTGACACTCATACACCGCGTCATCCGCCAACTCTGCTGAATCGATCTGCAAGCTGTGCTCGCCTGATAGCGGGTCGCCCATTAAGGAATAGCGTGTCCAGCCTGCGTGAAGCCAGCACAGAGAATAGAGTCAGAGACAAACAAACCAACCAACAACAAACACATAATGAAAGGACTATAAAATGAACAGACTTGTGTCCCGAACAAAGCCAAAAGAAACGTGGCAAGGCTCTTTAAGACACAAATGAAAGCAAGCAGCACCTCACAGGGCCAGGCATTGAGCCGTTGTGTTAGCAGAGCAGCGTGAGCCTAGAGATGCAACACGTGAGAAGGCTGCTGCATGGGAAGACTGTCCTTTAAATACAGGCACAATGAAGATGGGGTGGCTAAGGTCAAGAGGAAGCTTCTTCGCCTTTATGCTAGTCAGCCACACATTTAAATGTCAATGTGTGGCAAAAGCCAATTGATTATCCACCTTCTTACAAGAGTTAAAATGCTAAACAACAAATTAAAGTTCGGTGCGTGCAGCAGTAGCTGACCTGTCTGCAGTACATTGTTCACTCACCATTCATTTGTGTAAAACCCCAAAGGTTGACAGAGAGAGAGTTGATTTCTAATGAGGCCTGGCATTAATTGCAGCAGGACAGACAGAGACAGAGAGAGCACTAAACACAGAGAGGGCAGGAGAAGAAAAAAAGAGGGGGCTGGAGAGAAGAAGGCAGTGATAATACCTGGTAGATCTCTCTCTCCTCCCAGTGCCAGGCCATCTTTGGTCCACTGTACCATTCCACGGTAACCCACGATGACACAAGGCAAGGTCACCGACTGACCGGATACAACCACCTGGTCCTGGGGCTGCTGGGAGAAGTAGGCTGCTTGGGTGGCTGCTGGAAGAAAAAATAAAAAGGAGACAACGTGAACAACTAAAATCTTTAAATTGACCTTTTCCTTGATGGCAAACTGCAAATTCATACGGAGTCACAATATGGCTATAAAATCTCGATGTATTAAATTCAGAAAATGTGATCACAGTAGATTTCTGCAGTGCCAGCAGAGACGCATGACGAGGAAAGTGAAACTTTCTCTGTAAGGGCTTTGACGAAATAATGCAACTATTTAAAAAAAAAGCAGACTGACACGAACTGCTCAGCTTACTCTCCTGTTACCACAGCACTTGGTGGGAGAAATGGACATGCGTGAAAATATTATTTGTTCCCCCACTACAAATGCGTCTTCTAAGAGGAAGAGTCAGCTGTTACTCGTAACTTATTTAACTCTTTCCCAAGACCATATGGTTACATGCTCACTGACATGAAGCAAACACGCTTGTGGAGAGAAAACGCAGCCACTCCTTCAATGTGCTTTTTGTAAAAATGGATGTTAAACAATCAAAACTCCATTAAAGTTCCCTGGGGACCCGTTCATTCGAGCTTGCTGAAAGTCAGCGGAGACAACTGCCGCCACCGCTGTCGCCGTTTCGCTGCTGTGTTTAAGTCAAAGTCTCCCCGGATTGGCTGGCTTGCCTTCACACGCATGCAGAAACACAGCGTGAATACGGATTCGCAGCTCCTACAGTTTGTGCCACTATGCTTAAGATTGTGTATTACAAACCCCACTGGCAGGGGGGGAAGACGGCAGCACTCCAGAGGGAACTAATTCGTAAGGGAAGGCAGGAGGTGAGAGGGAGAAAGGCAGTTGGTTGGTTATCTAAGTAGGATGTCTGTGTGAGCTGGGAAGAGGACTTAAAAAACCTTCCCTCATTCTCCTCTCTTTGTTGCTCGGTGGAGAATGGAAGGGAAGGGGGACAGTGGAAGATAAAGAGGGTTCTATTCAGGCAGTGCTAAGCCCCCACTCCCCCCACCCCGAACTGCTTCTCTTGGTGGGAACGCTTAAACAGACAGGATCCCCCCTCCCTCCCAACATGAAGAAAGCCACTGAAAGGAGGGCAACATACGGCGGCCAGAGACACGCTATTGTCCTCTTGTCCCTCTCTTTTAATAGGCCTCTTCATTTCTAATCAATCCTGCTAAATGCAAGTTTAATAGCTTTTCAATAGCAGCTTTTCCCCCCAGAGGGTAGCTGGGATTTTCTCTACCCCCCCATCCTCCCCTTCTTTTACCCTCCATTCTTTCTAGTTTTTCTTTTCTGAAGGGGTGGTGTGTTGAGGGGCTTCCGTGGTTGTTGGCACTGTTTATCCTGCACTCAATTAACCACTTCATCTCAGGACTGCACCCTACCCTTCGCCTCCCTCACCCCTTTGCACCCTCCTGCCTCTGTCATCCAACAGCACGATTAAAGCCGCCAAACAGTGAGCTCATCAGGAACATGAGCGCTCAACACTTTAGACCGTTGTGGCTCGCGACAACTGCCTCGAAACCCATTTTCACATGCTCCCATTGTCTGTTACTCTCCATCTGGGCCAAACGAGGTGTTAATAGATCGAGTCGAGATGTAAAAAAAGAAGAAAAAAGAAAGATCAGAGAACAATGCATGTCGGCTCTCCAGTATCGTCTCCCTGTACATCATTTTTATGAAAGAGCTTTAAAAGCCGATTGAGCTGTGGGTGCAAACAGGTAGACTGCTGTATGTGTGGCACGCACTGGGGATCAAAAGAGGCCAATTTGAGAGCGTCAATAAGAAGTGAAACGTCTTCGAGTGAAGGCCATTAGGCATTTACCGAAGGCTGGCATTTTCCAGTCATACCTTCAAAAAAATGCTGTTTTAACAGTCTGCCCGCCTGTCCCTTACATTCTGCCGTTATGAGCTATTGAGCGTTTTCATTTTCCTCCCATTGCAAAGCGAGTTGGGGGATTTTCCTCTTTGTACTTGCAACAGTACAAACATTGATTGTAATTAAGTATCTTGCCCAGAGTATCTAAATGTTTACAATGGGTAATAGTTCACTGCATTGGTTGATTGTTTAGATGGATTACATGCATTGAATTGCTTCTCTTTACCTCGCCCACGTACAATTTCTCATGCTCACAAATGGCAATTAACACCATACGCACACACACTCACGCATATGCAGCCGTACAAATATAGAGTACGGAGCATGTGCTGTAGAGAATGTCTTCACGCCATATGAGTGATTCATTGCTCTCCAGATCCCTTATTGAAAATGCTCAACAGAACATCTCGACTGGCTAATGACTCATGCCAGATTCCTTTAATTCCTCCTTGCTGAATTAGACAATTCTTTGACGGTGTATTAGCAGCTTAATTACATGAATACATTTCTGACGGGGAGAGAGGGAGGAACGCAACCAGACAAAGAAGTAGTGGAGGAGAAGCAGTCAGAAGAAGTAGGGAGCTGTGGGTGTGAGGAGGCTTGTTCTTGGTGTGCTGCAGTGTCACATACACACATGCGTGTACACAAACGAAAACACACAAATAGTTTTCGGTGATTTTCAGCAGACTAAAAATGGGAAGCTCGTCTATTGGCTGCAGTTGAATCGCATTCGCAAAGAAAGACTTGAATCCCCTTGAAATTCCAACATTTCTGCAGAGGATGTGAGTTTATTTATCGCGTTGTCTCGATTGCTACGCAGGTAAATATGTGCAGAGTAGATTAGTTATACAACACGTTGCGTGCTTAAATGTTACACTGACACCAAAAATGCCATATTCGCTCTTTCTCACCTTGCTGTGCGTATATGTATGCGCGTGACTGCTTTTCCGTCCCCTAGTAACAAGGTCAAAAACACATTTGGCCAGATACATTTTAATCCGGATTTCTCAAAATGGAATATCATTTCACACCGCTGGATGCACATGGGGCTAAGTTTATGTGTGTCTGTGTGTGCGTGCATTTCCGCCTGACGCTGAGTGTGTGTTTGCCTATCTGAAAATGGGCTATGTATGTTTATGTCTGCCGTTTCATCTCAGCGTGTGAATGAGTGTGGAGGTTGGGGCTGCGTTAATAGGGTAAGCATCTTGTCAGGCACTGGAGGGCACATTTAGCAGTTACTTTGACACAGTGACTTTGCTGTTTCTGTCACATGGTTGGTGTTAAGTGCAAAACAGCCTCCCCGACTTGGGCGAAACCTATTAAAGAGCTTTGCGTTGACCCTGGAACTGCTTGCTCTCTCTCCTTTATCTGAACTGATAGGGGATGCGCTCGCATCAGGAAGGATCAGGAAGGGATGGACAGATGTCGGCAATGATCCGTCCTCCACTGGACATCTGCCTTGATAGAAATAGATTGAAGCAGTCATTCTGCGTGTGCGAGCGCGCGTGCGTATGTACGTGAGTGTGTCTCGTGTGGATTTATCCCGGTGGGGACTTTAACCTGACTGCACACAAACCTGTGGGAACAAAAATCAAGGTCCCCAGAGGTATGGACTGCTTTTTGAGGCTTAATACTTGGTTTTAGGTTCAGGGATAGCATCAGTTAAGGTTACGTGGATAACTGCGAACACCCAGACGAGTAGTCGTTCAATGTCATGGTCCGAAAGAGTTGTTGTTGCTGCTGTACTGTAGTTTCTGTGTAGACACGCTGCGGTCACAACAAACTCAAGGACGCTCGGACACCCCCTGTGGAGTCTTGCATTCAGCCCTCATGACAGAATTTGCACCAGTAGGACCCAAGCTAACTCTCGTACTTGGTAAAGTGGAAAGTATAACGCTGCCATTAGGATTAGGCATTCATTTATTGTGATGGATAAGGTGAAGGCTAGGGGATAAGAAATGCATTATCAATGAGGGAGTCCCTCTGGGCTACAGAAGCAAGATTTTTTTAAAAATAAAAAAAAACTTTAATAATAAATAAATGATCTGAGCATCTGAGGGCACAAAAGTCAATTTAAGTGCATAAGTTGGAACCTTCAAATGAAAACTAAAATAACATCAGCTACTCCACTCTGTTCATTTTCCTATGTTTTACGATGACACTCAGCTGCTGATGGCAGTGTTTGCAAAGAGTTCTTATTTTAGTTCCGATTTTATGCCATGTCCTCATTCCCATCCAGTACGAAGAGTACAACATCCAGTCCTGTGGGGTCTATAAATGTAAGTGCTCTCAACTTGACTGGACAATTTGCTCTGTGCAGTAATAATTCAAAATGCTAAAAAAGAAAAAGAAAAAAAGAAATAGCACCCGATATCTACTTGCATTTCAGCCCTATGCTAACGGCAAAGACTCCCGAGCCCAGCTGGTGTGAGTTTTCCCACAATAAGAGCCAGAGATGAGAAAATGAGGAAGTAAAGCAGACAAAAAACATTACAAAACAAGGCAATTGGCAAAAAAGTGTCAAGCTTGGAATAAACAACCACTTTCTCCAAATGCCATCCATTGTGCCTTGTCTAGATAAGGCTTCTAAATCGGGCTGGAAAATGGGAGCTCCATTTCTCTCTGTATGGAATTATTATCCCTTTGTTTTGAGTCAGCCTCTTTTGTCTTCCTTTTCCTGTGTGTGTGTGTGTGTGTGTGTGTGTGTGTGTGTG